CTGTTAAATACTCCCCCCTGCCCTGGGCAGCCCATTCCAACGCCCAACAGCCCCTTCTGCACAGAAATCCTTCCTCAGAGCCAGCCTGACCCTGCCCTGGGCAGCTTGAGGCCATTCCCTCGGGGCCTGGCGCTGGCTCCTTGGCTCCAGAGACTCATCCCCCCTCTCTGCCCCCTCCTGGCAGGGAGTTGCCGAGGGCCAGGAGGTCTCCCCTCAGCCTCCTCTGCTCCAGACTGAACCCCCCCAGTTCCCCCAGCCGCTCCCCAGCAGACCTGTGCTCCAGACCCTGCCCCAGCTCCGTTGCCCTTCTCTGGCCACGCTCTCGATGTGTTTCTCATAGTGGAGCTGCCCGAGGCTGTGGCTGACCAGTGATTCCTTCACCCAAGCAGAAAAGCCTCGGCATTACCCAGTAGAGATTCGTCGAAGCAAAGAAACAAGGCAGCGGCGTGATGAAACTCTAGAGTGTTACGGTTTCTGTCAGAAGGATCCTCAGGCTACACCCTGTGTTTAATATTTGCAGCAAGCTACCGCAATTTTTCTAAAAGAATGAAATTATCGTTAAACAACTCCGACTATTTCTCTTTGCTGCTGTTAGCACCGTTTCTTTACAGATGTGTACGAGGGAATTGATGGACCGATGGTTTAGAGCTTGCAAGTCTCAAGAAAACCCAGTACCTTGTAAAACGTCCTCAGATCTTGCCAGAGTGAAATTTCTAATTTAATTGACCTTTAACGTAATTAAAGTTCTGTTATAATTTCATTTCCCGGAAGAAATGCCCTTGTGTCAGTGACATTTCATGTAAGAAGCCTGAAGCATAGAGGAGTCTGTCCCACAGATCGCAGCTGTAGTTGGCTGCGCCGGATCCTCCGCCAGCATTTATCCCTGCAGCTGGAACACGGACTGTATCGGATCCATCCCCAGGTTATCCAACAAGGCAGGGTCTGTGGGCTTTGGCTGACCCACGTTCCACTTGATCTCATCGACTTCAATCTTAGAGAACTGTTAAAATTTCACCTGGCAAACTCCCCTCGCAGCCAAACCGCCAGCAGGAAACGATGAAACCTCGGGAGGGAACCAGCTGCCGTGGCAGCTTCGGGCCAAGCGTGCGGGGTTTTCACCGTCCCGCTGTGCAGGGGGATATGTTGAATTGTTGAATATGTTGATGTGTTGAATTGCTCCCCCGAGCCAGAACTCCCCAATACCCCAATAGCTCAATACCCCAGTGTTTTCTGTCCCTGCCCCTCAGTCACGTTTCTGTCCTTCCCGCTTGTTAGCAAGGGGGTGTCTCCATCCCATCCCTCATGTGCCCCTTGGGGTCAGGGGATTCTACTGAAACTCCTTTCTGTCGGGTACTGGCCCACGATCTTCCCTAATCTTTAGCTGGCCGAGGAAATCCTTACAGAAACACTGAGTATCTTAAAACCTGCTGCCTTACGGGACGCGCTGCTTCCTGTACCGATTTCTGCAGCTTTTCTCTGAAAGCCTCTTACAGGATTTAAGGGCGCCAAGAGGTCTCATTTCAGCTCCACATATTTTTCAAATTATAACAAAGCCTGAAGTGAAAACAGAACTGACTTTACTGAAATTCTGTTTGAATCAAAAGGAAACAAACTCAACCTTGTCAAACATCATCTTTACGGGAGCCGGAGGATTTTTCTACAGGTGCACGTCTTTGTGCTACACCTCGGCCTGGCTGCGTGCAGAGTTCTTGCAGGAATGTCACCTCTCCGAGAGCTTCGGGGTGCGACATAAACGAAGTGTTCTCGGGGCTCATCCTCCCAGCCATCCCCCGCTTCGCTTCGGGGGCGCGCAGCTGAGCTCAGGCAGCTGTGACTTGGCTTTCTCGGGTTCCCCTGCCTGTTCTGGAGAAGCTGTTGTGGTCGCAGCTGTCAGACCCACACAGCAGCCGTTGTGGCACTGAGGACACACACAAAATCGTCGTGCAGCTTTACTGTACCAGCTCCAGGGATGGGTTTGTCTTCCCAGGTGTGGGTTTTAGCCTGCGCTGCCGTTCCCGGTTTTAAAATACTCCTTTATTCACAGACAGCATCAAAATTAAGATGCGAATAGAATATGAGGCTGGAGGAGAGGAGCCTGTGTTTGGCTCGGTGTTTCTATTTCACACACAACTTGCAGTTTCAGCAGCAATAGGCTTCGAAGAGGATGTGGTTTATGTTCCTGCTATTCAAATGTCTCAAAACGAGAAACAGTCAATCTGTCACTCTGCCGGGGTCTGAAATGTTAAACCCCACTTGTCTTTTCTTCGCCTTCACCAGCTAGGAGCGAGGATTCGTTCGAGAAGGACGTTTGGCCAGCAGAGGGTTGTGTTTGCGGCAGCGGTGGCCTGGGCTGGCCCCTGGCTGGTGCAGGAGCGAGGCCAAAGGCTCTGCTGTGCCGGGGGATGACGGTGGCCCCGTGGCTGTCAGCACGGTGCTTCCCCCACAGGCGCCACGTCCTTTCACTTCGTGTGCTTGGCTCACGGGCCTTCCTTTGGGAATAATATAAACCAGCTCCATAGCCCGGGTGGTTCTCCGTGTGCTTAACCGTTTTTTTCCGCTTTCCTGAGTCCCATCACATTCCGCCGGGGTGCGCTCGGCACCGCGCTGCGCAGGACAGTCAGCGTGGACACTGTCTCTTATA